GTCCCCCCTCCCGCCCCCCAAGAACTGGCTCTATTCTATTTTCTGTCAGTGCGGCTTCTTGACAGCTCCACCGTCACCAGTTATTTTCTGCACTGCTGCTCCCACTTCCTGATGACCTTCACTTGCTGGGTTGCTCTTAGAGTCTTTTTTATTTATTTATTTTTGGCTGTCCTGTCCTTCCCCAAGCATCAGTCTGCTGCTGATGTCCCTTAGTCTCGGGGATTAAGGAGGGGGGAAAAGAAAAAAAAACAGGAGATCTCTAAGGCTGCCTTCCCTTTCTGCTCCTGGTTATTTTCTCTAGTAGTATGCCTGGCACAGGGTTGCCTTTACAACTGCTAGCTCAGCAGCTTCCATGCATCTGATTCGGATGTGTCTTGTACCTTGGCTGTGTTCCCAGTGGGGAGGCATCCCCTTCCCCATAGACGCTCTAACTGTTGCTATCAACAACGCTGGAAAAGCAATCTCCGGTTCATTCATGCTAGCGTCGTACATCATTAAAACATCACATCAATTTTCTTTCTGCTCAGGGTAAGATAAATATTCCATATGGACAAGATTTCTACCAAATGACAAAATATAGGGAATAGGTGTGCTGGTGGGAGGCACATGCCCGCATTAAATCTCAGCCTTTGCTTTGAAGCTTCTTGAGAATAGTATTGTTTCTTTTATGTTAGCTATTATGTCTGTTGCTAGTGAAGTGAATAGATCTGATTTGTGAATGGGGACCAGTGCAGTGGTGGCTTATCTTACAAATGCTTTGCACCTTGGGCAAACTGGTGGGGCTGTTCTCCAGAGTGAACAGTCACCGGTTCCTGCCATACAGTTTCCCACACTCTCCTCCCTCATTTTGTTGATACGTTTCCTATCCACAGTGGGAATGTAGTTCTGGAGCAGAAGATGGGCATACAGATTTTCATAGGATGCTCTGGGTATATGTATAAAAATGGAAGAGACATGGGGTTGCTTCTAATCCTAATAAAGCATTTGCAGGCATATAAATGCAAGCACGGTGTTAAGTGGAGACGTGAGAGACCTGGATTCCAGTTTAACCATGGTGTTCTTTGGACAGTGTTAAGGTAGTCATTATTTGCAGCCTGGGTGGCCTGTGAAGGTGGTTGTGAAGGTGAAATATGATACTTCCATGTATGTTGCTCTGAATTCCAGTGTTCCTGTTACCAAGGATATGAGGTAGCCCTACCAGGGAATCTCCAAGGCCCTTGGTAGGTGTCTGTGTATTGCTTTGCATAATTGGGTTTAAAGCAGTGTTTTTTCAAACTTAGTAACTTTAAGATGTGTGGACTTCAACTCCCAGAATTCAGCTCTGGGAGTTGAAGTCTACAAATCTTAAAGTTGCTAAGTTTGAAAAAACACCAGTTTAAAACATTTCCTGTCTTAAGGGCTCAGGGCAGTTACAATGTGATGGTTATCTGTCTTTAATCTACCTTCCTCTAGCTATCAGCTGAAATAAAAGCATCCTATCCTGCTTTTGGATGAGGGCTGGGTTATGAAAACTACCAAACTCTTATGTGGTTCCCCAGTTGTCACTAGGCAGTGGCTACCAAGTGCTTCAAGAGAGGGAGAACTCTAGGCTGGGGAAGCAACTATGCTTGGAGACCTCCTTTTTCAGTGGTTGTTGCACCTGCAGGAGACAATCCGCACAGCCCTTGCAATGGGAGCTGACCGGGGGCTCCACGTGGACATCCCTGCAAAGGACTACGAGAACCTCACCCCCTTCCAGGTTTCAAAGATCCTGGCGGCGCTTGCCAAGAAGGAAAGCGTCAATCTTCTGCTGCTAGGGAAACAGGTGAGAGGAAAGGAGGGGAAGGGCTGGGTTTGGCACTGATAAATATACCATGCAGAAATAAATTGTGTGCTGAATCTTGGGCAATCTTCACCCAAGGACAAGTTTCTAGCCCAGTGTTTCTCAACCTTGGCAACTTTAAGACATGTGGACTTCAACTCCCAGAATTCCCCAGCCATAAAATTTTGGAGAAGGTTGGCATTTTGTAAATTCTAAAAGTCAGAACCAAAGCTTTCTTTGGATAGCAACAGGGCAGGGAGCATGCACATTTCCAATGTGATAAAACAGGCACGGCCAAGGAAACGGGCTCCATTACTCAGCTAAGACACATGGCAAGTAAGGAAAGGCTGATGCCAAAAGGGCCAAGCTCACCAGGCTGAGGCCAGCGGAGGCAGAGTTCAGTCTTGCGAAGCTGATAGATTTCCAAGAAAATGCAGGACTGGAGCTGATCCAGCAGGCCCCCCTGATAGCTGGAAAGCTGGGTTGAGAGCCATTCCCGACTTGAGAAAGGGCACGGTGAAATACAACCATTTTTTCCCTCGCTAGCTGAAGCTGCTGCTTCTGGCCCTGAAAAATGGGGAACCTGATGTTGTCATGGCCGTTACTGAGTGCAAGTATTTCTGCTTTTGTTTCATGTTGCAACTGATGACTTTGTTCAGAAGGAAAGGGCGGTTGAAGGTAGAAAAGTCAAACCAGCTCTACCTTTAACTGGAAAGGTGTGATTATTTGTGTATGTACATATATATTCTTGTGATCTTGAGTCAACATTCCCAAGCAAAGTTTTGCAGTGAAACCAGTCATCTGCTTATAATGGCCTTCTTTGTAGTACACATTTCCCTGCGATTGTTGGGGGGAAAATTAACCTGCACAACCAGCAGTGCTTCCTTGTCTTTAATGTGACCTTTCCTCCCCCTCCCCTTTTCTTTTTCTCCACCTCAGGCCATCGATGATGACTGTAACCAGACAGGGCAAATGACAGCAGCATTTCTTGACTGGCCGCAGGTAAATTAGAAGCCTCCCAGTTTGGGCCTGTGTGCTTAAAGGTAGATAATTGTTTCCTTTGCTCCAGTGAATGAAACATCCAGTTGGGGAGTTGAGTGGTAGTCTGTTACCTTGATGTCCTGGAACAAATTGTCTTGTAGTCAAGGAAGACAAGGAAAAACTGGAGGCTGGCAGAGAGGGTGGAATAGTCTCTGTGCCCAGTGTAACTCAATTTCAGTAACTTTATTATGGTCATCGGCACATTAGTGTAACTCTTTTCTGTACCCAGCAATGAAATAGAGCAGCCTGTTGGCAGGGGGGTGAGATTCTTCTCTTTGTTTTCAGCCCCCAGCTGGCCACTGTAGTTCTAAGAAACTTGATGTGGAAAAGCAGGAATTGTTCTCAAAAAGCTTGGGCTTGCATAGAAAACTTGGCCCTTTAAAACAGCATTTCACTTGTTCATGCATTCACTGCCTACTTGTTTAGATTGATTGATTTATACAAAAATGTATATCTCTCCTGCTTCCTATGACTGAAGGATATAAATCTTTTTTATTTGTTTGGGATAGAAATCTCTCTGCCTCATTTTAAAGGCAGTTAGTCCTTTGGTCACGTTTTCTTCATCCTCCAAGAGGAATAACCCTTCACTGGGACTCTTCTTCTGTTTGGCTGGATTTGTGGTCTGATCAGCATGCAGGCAACACTTGTTGGTTTCCAGTTCAAATTTTATGTCGGCACAACGGTCACATTTCCAGAGAGATGGTCACAGCGATCTCTGCCTGCTTGACAATAGATTCAAGGGCAGGCAAAGTGTGCAGGCCTTTGCATGATTCACTGGTTTCCTGGCCGTGACCTGCTTTGCTGTGGCTGTTTCCTTGGAAGGGCGATAGGCAGGATGCCTTTCTCTTGGAGCCCTCACAGCTACATCACAGAGTCTGGCAGCCTCAGGGTTAAGGTGTTTTAATTCCAGGATGTGTCGTGTTGTCAGAACTTAATTGCCTAGGTGGGTGTGTTGCCACTGTGCTTGAAGTTTGAACACGACACTGTAATAAGCCACCTCATCTGTGTGGAGACAGATAAGTATTGTCTCTTAATCCCCACGTGTGACTTAGAATTGTTTTCTTAAATTGGGTTGGTTTGAAAAGGCTGCTAAACATTTTGAGGTATGTGCAACGAACATAGCTCCCTATATCAACTTACAGAGCACCGGTTTAAGGGGTTTCCATTTGGGACAAATCACACCTGTCCTGCTTTTAATGAAGCAGTTCTTCTTTATTCTCGGCAGGGAACGTTTGCTTCAGAAGTGAGTGTGGATGGGGACTGGCTGAAGGTTGAGCGTGAAATTGACGGGGGTCTAGAGACAGTGCGCCTGAAGCTGCCTGCTGTGGTGACTGCTGATTTACGACTGAATGAGCCCCGCTATGCAACTCTGCCCAACATCATGGTAAGATCCTGATGCCTCTTCCTTACTTGGCTGCTCCTTACCTGCTCCAGCAAACCATTTAAGTGGGTATACAGCTTTAAGGTTAAGAGAAGCACTTGCCTGAGCTGAGAGCAGGCATCCTCTTGGAACTCCATGGCTCTGTAGAAGAGAAAGGTGGAACTTGAGGTCCCTCAGATTCGCATAGAACATTTTGACTGTGACATCAGGGTCCTTCTGAAAACTGTTATTGAACTGAAATGTAGAATACGGCCCAAAGGAAAGCTGTAACCCCCGCAGTCAATAATGATATCATTGTATTTAACAATTTAATTTTATTGTTAAATATTCGGATTTAATTTCTCCCTGCCTTACCTTTTACAGTGCTTTCCACCCCGAACAACATGTGTATCTTTGTTACAGAGCCTGCATTCAGTTGCTTGAGGTTATATGGACATCTGTAAGTGCTAGAAGCCAAGTGCTCAAGTAACAAAAGGGGAGCTGTAGCTTTGCACAGAAGCTTTGACTCCCCCACTACTGTTGGTACTCAGCATTCCAGGAATGGCAGGTCATAAAAATACCGAAGAACAAATTCTCCAGCAAAACTGGACCGTGATTGGTTAATTGTTCCCCATTCCAATCCTCTTTCCCAGAAAGCCAAAAAGAAGAAAATTGAGGTGGTGAAGCCATCGGATCTTGGTGTGGATCTTACCCCTCGAGTGAAGACTCTGAGCGTGGAAGATCCTCCTCAGCGTAAGGCTGGAGTCAAGGTGGAAACAGTGGAAGATCTGGTTGCTAAGCTGAAGGAGAGCGGGAGGATCTGAGCTCTTGGGTGGTTTTGGTAAGGAGAAAATGCGTGAGGAGTGAACCGGTGCTGTGTAAACTCACTAGTAAGAAAAGCAAGATGTAACTTATGCAAGATTCCCAAATTTGCAGGCACCCTCCAGTCCTCTAAAACTTCTGTTCTGTAGAAATAAGAAACAGCTACACAGCTCTGCATCCCCTCCCAATCTAGGCCTTCTGGACTTTCACCAGATATTGCTTGTAAAATTAGAAATCCAGGTTTTGCAGACATAAGGACCTTTTTGTCTTTAAAGGCAAATTTTTATTTCAGGGATGACATATTCTGTTCCCTTTGAAGTCTTCATCTTCCAGTGTTCAGTTATATTGTAGTGAGACTAATGGGTAAAGCCCAGGATTTTGGGTGGGGTGGGAATGAAGATGGAAATAGGTTCTGTTTTCCACCCCAGTTATGTTCCAAAATAGAGCTCTTATTTTTTTCCATATAAGTAGAGCTGTCTACCCTTTTTTCATGGAACAAATATTAGTGAGGAAAGAAGAACTGCCGAGGATTAAAATGGTGGATGTTTGGGGTGGATTGGTATCAATATTCAATTAATTGTGTCCCCATAATTTAAAAGAATCCAACACATTTAATAAATTAATGGGCTAGTTGAGAGAACGGCCGTTGTTTCTAGCTTTTACTGATGGACATTGATAGGGGAATTTCACACTTGGTAATGACTCCCTAGAGCAGTGTTTCTCAACCTTGGTAACTTTAAGAAGTGTGGACTTCATCTTCCAGAATTCCCCAGCCAGCATGGGAGTTGAATCCTGGGAGTTGAAGTCCACACATCTTAACATTGCCAAGGTTGAGAAGCACTGCCCTAGAGAAAAGGGGGTTGTCACTGGATCCCAGCTTTATTCTCCCAGTCATTGCAGCCCACTGGTCTTTCCCATTTCGCCTTTTTGTCCACTCCTTGCCATCATGTTTCAGATTCTTCCAAAGGCCTGAATTTATTTTTCCTGCAGAAAGAGATGCAAATCTGCTTTGATTTATTAAACCCTTGAGCACCGAAATCAGATTTCCTTGGCTCTGCATGCAGCAGAGAATCAAAACATGAACTCGTTGTGGTTCATAGCGACTTTTTTTAAACACAGCCAAAATCAAGCTCTAAAATCTGCTGTCTTTAAACTGGAAGGGAACATCCAGAAATAAGTAAAGCGTGCTTAAGCTATCATAGAAACATATACATTTGTTGTCTTATGAAGAAGGCAAAACGGCCAGATAGTGGCCTCCTTTATTTTATTTATTGCACGGGTCCTTCTGATCTCAAGATATACCTAGGCGGGCTCCCATTATTTTATTCCCCAGGCCGCAACTCTGTAATGTAGGTTGGGCTGAAAAGGAATAACTTTCCCCAAACCACGTAGTGAACTGCATAACCAGGGCTGGGCTTGAACCAGGGTCTCAGTCCAAATCCAGCACCTAAGCCACTTTGCTCTGGCAACTCGCTCCCTTTTGCTCTCTTTCATGCATCATTTGGTTTGTCAGTTGGATCCATTCAGTTCAAAGTGTGTCAGTTCAGTTTTCCAAATTAGGTTGGGTTTTTGTTTTTTGGGTTTTTTTGGTGGGGGAGAACCACTTTTTGTGCAGTTATAAAGGCTTTCTGAATTGCCTCAGCAATTTGAATGGATTTGATTTGACAATTAAATCAGGAGGTCGATTCAGTTGAATCTCCGTCAAACTGAGCCTCCAAATCAAGGCTTCATGCAGCTCTACGTTTCCTAAGATTTTATGTATGAGATTTCCAAGCACCCAGAGCTAGCAGCAAGGACCATTGACTGGTGAGTCATCCCTTGGATTCTTTTTCCTGTTGAGGCCTCATCTCATTAAAGTTGAAAATAAAGAATGCAAGAGCTGACTAGCACCCATCAAATCCAGCCTTGTCTCCAGCAGCAGCCAGCCAGATGACCCTTGGAAACACTCAAATGATAGCAGTCCCCAATTCCGTTTGATGCATGCTGGTTTTAGAGCTATACTGCATTGGACCATGGGAGTTCTACTTAATGTTCAAGATCCTAGCCTGTGATAGGCCTCTCTTTCATGATATTCCCCACCCTGTTGTTTTTAGCCAGTAAGTAAATGGTCGTCATTTACATGTTGGCTGGGGAATTCTGGGAGTTGAAGTCCACATATCTTAAAGTTGTTAAGGTTGAGAAACACTGGACTAGATAAAGCCCCTTCTCCTGAAATTACTGCCAATAAATGAGTATATCCCTCCGACCCTGAATGTTGATACATACATACATACATACATACATACATACATACATACATACATGATTTTTTATCCCACCTTTATTATTTTTATAAATAAGGCGGCGAACATACCTAATACTCCTTCCTCCTATTTCCCCCACAACAACACCCCTGTGAGGTGGGTTGGGCTGAGAGAGAGGGACTGGCCCAAAGTCACCCAGCCTGCTTTCATGCCTAAGGCAGGACTAGAACCCGCCATCTCCCGCTTTCTAGCCTGGAGCCTTA